TACAAACGTCGTGTTTATACAACTTCACGGACAACGCATGCGTCATGAAGCAACAGCCTTTCCTGAGGATGAACAACTTAACACGTGTTCCTTGGTAGTACCTAAGCATAGGGAGATCTTTCGGAGCAAGCGAGGCAGAAGCTTCCCCAGATCCAAATTACCTGGGTGGATTCTGTGAGAAAACAAAGGCTCGTGGAATGTCCTGCGTGCGCCTACCGGAATCGTAATCTGGTGGGACACGAAGGCCACTGTCGATGCTAGGTCACTGTCCACGAAGGTCACCATCCACGAAAGGAGCGCGCTGCTGACCCGACGCATGAAGAACTGTGACTGTCTATTGCGCTACTCCTGTGTACACTTGTGCGCTCGTTTCGTGCGTCTTTCTTTTTGTGTTAACAGCGCCTTTGGTTGTCCAGCTGCAACCGTTGTTTGTCCACGCCCGTCCTGCGTATGCCAGTTTCATGTGATGCTTTCTCCTTGCGGTGTTTGCTCCATGTTTTGAGCTGCTTGCCATCCTTAACCTGACTTTACGATTAGTTGCTGTTGCTGAAAATTTGCACAGCAAATATCCAACTACCTATGACTTTCACTTTAAATACCGATTCTTACATATGGGGTATGAGCCACGTTTTTTTTCCTACTTCGCGTGATAAAGGTTGCAGACACCATTGGTGGCGGTGGAGAACTGTGGTGCGCCCGACATTTCTTGTGTCTCATAACAGTTTTCGTGGTGATAGACGACGTCCTAAATAAAGTTTGTAGAGCTTTTTCACGTGTGTTGTGCACGGACGTCGAAGAGCTGCTCTGCGCACTTCTTCCAGACAACGGGGCAACCAAGCACATCAGAGGAGGATTGCTTGAAGATAGTCTATGTAGATTTTAATTTGGTGACGCTAGTAAGATAAAATATCACTTGTCAGAATGCGACCTGTGTGTGGCCTAGCTCATCAGGGGCATCCCACTTACTATGCGTGCTCACCTCTTCGCTGTGATCACGCCAGTTCGTTTTGACCTGCTGCGACTGGCAAACATAGACAAAACACTAGCTGGTGGGGAAACAACGTTCTTTGATAGTGCAGCTGCAGTATATAAAGTGCAGGGTTTAAAGGTACGGGCAAGGGGAAACATCAATCTCTTCGATATGAGCATGGACAAGGGAAGAGGGTACAGAGAAGGTGCTTGCGCACAGTTGCCTTGGCTAGATTGCCGCATGAAAACTTAACACAGCATTTCACGTTGGTCGCATCTGCACCACTGATAACCTTTGGAACCCTTGGCCGTGTTTTCTCGGTACAGGTGACGGGCTGGGGTGAAGGCGTCGCTGTGAGTGCGCTGTCAGTGATGATCGGTAGACGCGTTTGGCTTCTAGGCTCCAGGGTGTATTGACGGAAATGTATAGCGGGCTAGACCATTTGTTAAGAGGTTTATTACGTAATAGAAATCGCTACAAATGTCGGTGGTGAGCCACGTCAGGAATCGTACGCCGACACAGCAACAATCTGAAACACGAGGCAAGTGAGCCCAGTCTGGGCGATGCTGCTAAATGAAGGCGCACCTTATTTAAAATAACGAACAAAAATAATATCAACAACAACAATGATAATAGAACTAATAATACTAATGTTGTTATAACCATTCCTAATAAAAATAAAGCAAGGTTTAATGTCACACAACAATAATATCATTAGCAAGAATTCCTAAGTGAAGGACCCTGAACGATTTGGCGATCCAGTGACCATTAAGCAGGCGTCGAAGTGTATGCTTCCGACCAGGTAGATAGTTCGTGGTCACTTTGAAGGACTGCATTGAGAGGTGCGATGACCGTAGCGAAATTTCAAACGAAGCGCCAAAAATATGAGTACAAGTCATTGAAGGTGCGCAGTGTTTTCAGGTTAGTAGGCTTCGGGAACTCGGATACGGCTCGAAGTTTAGCAGGATCGGGAAAAATCCCTTCATTGGAGACGACGTGGTCTAGTATAGTTAGTTTTCTAGCGGCTAATAGGCACTTTTTCAAGTTAAGCTGGAGAGCGGCATTTTAGACACAAGTCAAAGGTTGATGCAACCATTGTAGATGGGTCAGGAAATCTCGCGCAAAGACCACCATATCATCTTAATAGCAAAAGCAAGTGTGCCACTTTAAGCTGCGTAAGATGCTGTCCATCATGCGTTCAAAGGTGGCGGGCCCGTTACAGAGATCGAATGGCATTACAGTGAATTCGCACAATCCATCTGGTGCTACAAACGCGGTTTTCGAGCGGTCAGTCTCAGCCATGGGCACTTGCTAGTAGCCAGAGCGAAGATCCAAGGAAGAAAAAAACTCCGCTGCTTGAAAGCAGTCCAGTGTGCCATCAATTCGTGGCAACGGGTACACATCCTTTTGGGTAATCTTGTTAAGCCGGCGATAATTGTCACAGAATTGTATTGTGCCATCTTACGAACAAGGACGACAGGTGATGCCCAAGAATAATGGGAAGGTTGAATGACGCCGTGTTTAAGCATGTCATTCACCTGGTGATCGATAAGGCGCCTCTCACTCGCCGATACTCGGTAAGGACGCTGTCGAATGAGCGCATGGCTTCCGGTATCGATAGTTTGCGAAACAGTCGCTGTGTGGCCGAGTCCCCATGCTTCGCAGTCAAAAGAGGAAGAGAAATCGTCGAGCAAGCGTAGAAGCTGATCTTGTTGGGTCATCGTGAGGTCAGTGGCTATAGGTGGTGTGAAAGATAGCAGTAGTGGCCAAAGAGTTGATGTCTTGAGGGTGGCCATATCAGTGGGGTCGTCCATGGCGTCGAATATAGAAGATGACACCAGCGGCTCGGCTTAGCCGAAGGTTTCCCGGCGTCGCAAAGAGATTGGCTCTGGTTATGGATTGGTTACGTACATCACAGAGGCACCTGAATGAAACTCGAGAACGGCAAATGGCAATGGCAGTGATCGGCGGGGAACTAGAACTGCAGACGGTGCGAAAAGCAATAAGCCGCCGTCTTCAGAGTCACAAGAGATGGAGACAAGAACAGTAGACTGGGCAGGCACAATATTGTCACAAACTGTGATATTGCGACATGTGCCCTTGTCATTAATGACGTCTGTCGAAAATGGGAACATTTCGAGTTCAGCGTGGGCACAATTGATGATCGCGTGATCTGTAGAGAGAAAATCCCACCCTAATATGACGTCGTGAGAACGAGATGGCAGCACATTTAGTTTGATCACATAAATACCATGACGACAGGGGCTGTGCAGGCACCGGATGGCTCGACGTGTGGCGCGTTGGCTGTATGAAGAGATAGTCCAGAAACAGGTGTCATGTCTTTTCTAATATGGCAGCAAATGCAGGCATCAATCGCTAAAAAGGCAGCACTAGTCTCGACAAGGACTAGCGTTCATGTTCCTTCCATAGCGACTTCAATAACGTTTCGGGGAGAAATTTTAGGCCTTATGCATTTCACCGGAACCACACTTCTCGCCTTCTGAACTGCGCTACTCAATTTTCCTGGCGCACAGAGCTAAACCGTCGGTGCATGGGGGAAAGGGAGTGGCGGCGAGGAGAAAGCGAGCGGCGAGAGGAGGGTGGGGTCCGGGAGGTAGGATCAGATTCGTAGTCGTCTGAATAACTGCAGAGGTGTTGACGTGCGCATACGTGACCTATGCTGGATGCACACTGTTGAAGATAGACGGTACACGAAAGCGACAGTAACGGGCCACATGTTCAACAAGGCCACAATGAAAACAAATGGGACGGTTGTCTTGCGTGCGCCAAGGGTCGTGTGCCAAGGGTCGTGTACCCACCCACCCGTACTGTACGACTGGGTGGGTGGGTGGTGATTCTGGTGGGCGAATCGGTGCACCACGCGGACTTTAACCTTGCGTCACAGGCCTGGAAGTGACTGCGCCGTACCTCAGGGGAGCAGCAGTGGGAGCCTGATAGAGCGAAGGCGAGACCTCTTGAGCAACCTGGTCCCTGATGATGTTTTGGAGAGGGGCGCCAACATGTATTTCGACTCGTCGTGAACAAGCGGCATCAGCGAAAGCTGGCGAGCGACCCCTTCACGAACGAAATTCTTAATCTGTAGCAGCAGGCATGAGTTGTCAGGAGCAACAGCAAATCCCGACATTGAAGTCGCCTGTGGATGAGAGTGGCGCGTGGCTTTGCGTTGTTTGCGCAGCTTATTAAAAGTTTGGCAAACCCTGACATGTTCAGACACTGTGGACTGGTTCTTTGCCAGCAGCATCTGACAGGCGTCGTCCTCAATCCCTTTCAAGATTTGCCTGATCTTATCGGCATCCCCCATTGCGACATCAACGTGGTTAAACAGGTCGACAACGTATTCAATGTAGCTGGTGAATGTTTCACCATTCTGCTGCACGTGGCCACGCAACCGTTGCTCGGCTCGAAGCTTGCGAACAGCGGGTTGCCCGAATACTTTCGTCACGTGCGTTTTGAAGCAGCCCACGTCGGGACGTCACGTAGGTGGTTTCGATGCCACACGCTGGGGACGCCGCTCAAATAAAATGACACGTAGCTGGGCTTCGCAGCGTCATCCCAGCGGTTGATCACGCACCCGCTCGTATTCGGCGAGCCAGTTTTCAACATCCTCCTCTCTGTACCGCTCAAGATTGGTGGGTCGCATTGAAGCGATGGACCAGGGCAGACCAATGTGGGCACCAGGACAGCAGGTTGTTTCTGCGGTTGATTTGGTACTTCACGCGGCATTGCAGTGGCATGACTGAGTTTCCGGCTGCGAAGTTCCAGGTGGTCACTACCCAGCAGCTCCATCACTTGTCACTGGGGTTTATTGAGGTACACAGCAACTGGAAAGATAGCAGCAGCAGCAGGCAAAGCGTAGCCAGGTAGAGAACAGCCAGGCAATGTCAATGCGCTTCTGCATGTGTTCATCTTCCTCACACATAATTCAAGTTACTCATAAAAAATAACGTGCGATATTCCAAAGGTTTCATACAGTAGGACTCACCTTCTGTTAATTTGTTTTTGTTTGCAGGATGCATCGCGATGTGTATCTACAAACTTTTTGAGGACTCTTCCTTTAATACCCCGGTGCCTTTCTCCCGGATTATTCACAAGTCGGAGGTAGGTTTCAAAATCAATGTCTTTTCAATACCGCAGCTTTCGCTTTCAGTTTATTATATATATATATACCTAAGGGCTCGTTGTTTTGTGTTTTGACACATTATAATGAGATCTAACGGACAATTTGCCAAGAAAAGTATAGGGCAGTTATTAGACAAAATTGTAATGTAATTGTGAAGAAAGAAAAGTGCGTGGGAAATAACTTGCTGTGATCAGGAATCAAACCTGCGACCTTCGAATAACGCGTTTGATGCTCTACCACTGAGCTACCATGGCGGCTATCCACCCAGCCATTTTATTGGTTATATATGTGAATTTAAACACAAGAGTGTCAGTCAGCGCCATCAGTTGCCATGGAAGCGAGTGTGACATACTATTTAGGAGCCTGTGGGGCGTCACATAGCACGTGAACTTATTACGAGCTAGCAGTTGACCTATAGTTTCTCGTATACAACCTAGGGCACTATGTTTGGCAGTACGAAACCCTCGGTAATGAATAAGTGAAAGAAGTGTACACTTAAGGGCTTATTTTTCCGTGTTTTGACACATTAGAGTTATATCTAACAGACAATACAGGCAAGGAAAGCATAGTAAAGTTATTATATTAAAATGTAATGTAAGTGTGAAGAAGGAAAATGGAGGAAAAGATAACTTGCCGTGAACAGGAACCGAACCTGCGGCCTTCGACTAACGTGTTCCATGTTCTACCACTAAGCTACCACAGCGGCTATCCTCCCAGCAACTTTATTGGTTATATAAATAAGTTTAAACGTGGCAATGTCAGTCAGCGCCATCAGTAGCCATGGCGGCGAATGTGGCACACTGATGAAGCGCCAGTGTGTCGTCACGTAGCACGTGTCAGGTGCTAGCTCGTAATAAGTTGAGACTTGCCGCGGCTTCTCCCCCTTTTACTATCTCAGCAATCATGTGGTGGCATGGCGAATTGAGATTCAGCAGAAGCATAATGAAACCACTTGTTCCCGCGTGGCGAAAGCCAGCCAGGGCTCGAGACGGGTGACAGAAACGGAAATACAATATAAATTGATGCTGTGCTCCACTACCACGAACGCGTTAACATTGGAGAGGTTGCCCGTCATGAACGTAAAAGTGAGTCGACCCATGCGCTTCTTCGCATGCTACTCATTCTTCTCTTTATTGGGAGATGGTGTAATTTATTATTTGAAAATACGCAAAGTTCCTTCGTGCATGAAGTCCAATACTAAGTGGTAATGAGGCAAAAGAATTCAGGGCTGAAGGTCGGGTGGGCGGCCAGGCCTGAGGGCCTGTTGCACGGAGGTGATGGCGATACTTTTGTTGTAGAGCCGTGTAAGTCTATAATAAGTGTGAAGCTGTTACTTTTTGGATGAGGCGTCTCAACATGGAATATGGGCGTCGGTACTTTTGGTCCAAAAGAGCGATCATGGCTGGTGTAAGAGTAACTAAACCTCCTCTCAGCGTGTTAAGCCACCAGAGAGTTCTCATCCACACGGAGATATGAGCCTAAGTGTGGTACGTCGGAGGCTTCCTTTTCGTAGGGCATCTTGAAGGGTCATCGGTGGATTTCTCATCATTACCACAAAACCCACTTGCTTTACCCCTCCCATAACGAATCGCCTTTTTTTTACCGAACATGACATATGGTTGGTGTGACCGTAAAGTCTGGTCATCGCCTCCATGAAGATTGAGACCTTTCTGTTTGAGAGCGACACCCGTGTTTTCAGTCAAGCATTGGTCCTTTCCCTTCGCACGACGCTTGTGAACGCTGCGAGGAAGCTGGTTCAGACAATGTCCTAAGTTGTTCGTGTAGGCTCCTTGTTCTCCAACAGGTCCTGGCACTGCCTTCCAGCAAGAGATACACAAAGCACTACTCATAGTTTATGACCAGTCTTTAAGCAGCGTAGTCCGTTTGTAGGACTCCAGCCACGTTTCTGGGTCACGCATGATACCTCAAATATATTGATGGCTCCCCCGGCTACTAAGTCATGATTGCGGGCTGTGGCTCAGCAGATATATTCATCGGTCATCCAAGTCATGCACGTACTTCGGTTGTAGGCTTACAACCATCTCGATGGTCGTTGTTACTGTCGATGTCTTCTTCGGGACTTGGGCTTGGTTTAAGGCTATACGAAGGTGTTCAGAACATGAAAGCGCAGCACCTCCACCAGACGCCACGTGGTTCTGACTTGGACAATAATAGCAATAGGCTTCTTGAGGGTGAAACTCTTTATTTGGCCCATGTGGCCTCAACCCAGAAAATCAAGTAACAGCGAGAAATGCACGCTGTACACTAATATCGGCACACAGACTTGGAGCGACGCTCGGCGAAAGCCTGGCAAAAGACGGCAGAATTTATACACGCGGCTTTGTTGATTCGAGTGTTATCAGTGGTGGTAAGGTTCACTTCAGAATGAACTCAGCTGTTCACGTTGAGCACATAATATTGTTACGTAAACGACACGAGGCATGTCTACTTAGAATCTATATTGAAACTGATGCGTATAGCGTCGACAAAGATGGAGCACAGCAGGCACAACCAACAGACCACTTCCTAGTTGTCGTCTTCTAAGCCCTGACATGTCAGCTACGTAGCGTTACCCCCCTCCCTCCCTCCGGCGGTGAAAGCACCGTCTCAGTGCACAATAACTACGGTCTTCAGTAGGCAGGTAGTAAAGTTTTAGCCTGCTAACGTGCACAACATCACTGGGTGTGCTTGCACGCAGGCTTGTGGTCTCAGATGCAGGAATGATCACATAAGTGACGTCGGTTGCCTGGCGGATGATACGGTAAGGACCCGTGTAGCGAGACAACTTCTCTGATAAGCCAACTCGATGAACTGGGCACCACAGGAGAACGAGAGAACCGGGTGAGAAGCGAACGTCAACATGCCGGCTGTCGTAGATGGTTTTCTGAGAGACTTGCGAAGTCGAATGTCTAGAGCGGGCAATATGACGTGTGTGGTCGGCACGAGCAATAGCGTCGTGTGCGTATTCGGTTGACGGCGTTGTAGGGGTTTCAAGTAGGGTGTCGAGTGGTAACGTCGGATCATGAACATAAAGCAAATGAAAGGGTGAATAACCAGTTGTGTCGTGGCGTGAAGAATTGTATGCGAAGGTAACGTGAGGTAGCGCCAGGTCCAAGTCATGGTGGTCGGAGGACACATACATCGCGAGCATGTCCGTGAGGGTGCAATTTAGCTCTTCAGTAAGGCCATCTGTTTGGGGATGGTAGGAAGTGGTCAAATTGTGCTGCATCGAAAAACAGCGCAGAAGATCGTCGGTTACACGGAACAAAAATGCGCGCCTGCGATCCGTGAGTAATTGGCGAGGAGCGCCATAGTGTAGGACGACATCTTGGAGTGAAAAGTCTGCAACGTCAGTAGCGCTGCTGGTGGGGAGTGCTCGAGTGATCGCATACCTAGTCGCGTAGCCTATAGCAACGGCGACCCACTTGTTGCCCGACTTCGACTCGGAAAAAGAACCGAGAAGATCTATATCAACACGGAAGAAAGGTTCGGTTGGGATGAAAATCGGTTGAAGTCCAGCCGGAGCGCAGTTGGTCGCTTTCTACGTTTGCATTTATCACAGGAGGACACGTAACGGCGAACGGACCGGGTGAGACCACGCCAAAAGAAGCTGCGACGCACGCGGTCGTACGACCGAGATACACCCAGATGACCAGCAGTTGGTTCATTGTGAAGCTCGTGCAGCACAGTGATTCGACGATTATTGTTGAAACAGCATTCCGGAACAAATGCGTTATTGTTATGCCAAAGAAGGACTCATTTTGAAATAAAAGTGCGTTTTTGTGGCCCGCACCGGGTTAGTGCACTTCAAACTACCCGCCTCAAGAAGCGGTGTGACTAACGTTACTGTTGCCGTGCACAACATTGCGTGGTTTTACTGCACAATCGCCGACACTAGTAGCCAGAACGAAAACAGCGGTAGCCAATGCAGTAAAAACCGCCATTGATCGATTTCCTGCCATTGTCTCCGAGATGTCAGACATGTTTTGGTACAATGGCGCACCGCTGGACGGCACGACTTGTCCGAAGTAACCACGCAAAAACAGAATTTTTGAAAACGTTTACGCCATATTTTATGGTAACGTCTGCCGGTTTCTTTAACGCAATAGCGTTAAAAAGCTCAGGTCGCGAAAAATCCGCCGCCTGCGTTAGCCCCGCTGGTTGTGAGCAAAGAATCGTCTGTGCGTCTGTGACTGAAAAATCAAGTCACCGAGACAACCGCGGAAGGCCGCTACATGCCAACTCGTGCGCGCGGGATCACACTGAAAAAGCCGCACATTCGAAGAAAAAAAAAGTGCTCAAGGTAACGAGGCTTGGTAGTTTCTTTACCCTGCCAACTGTCCGAGCTTAGCTCCCAGCGCTTTCGTCGGGACGAAAGAACAGATATTGCAATTGCAGCAAGCGACATACCTGTGTAACTCCACTCGCACTGGACGGGTTCTTAAAAGTTTTGCGGCGTTGAATTGGTGAGGCAATCAGCTCTTCTAGCAAGTTCATTCCATGGTTGCTTGAAAACGTGTTTCAGGGATCGTTTAATGCATTTTGTTCGGCATGTGTCACGACGAAATCAAGGCCATTTGCCGATAATAGCACGTGCTGGTCGAATCTACAGTGTGCGTGTTTGTGTCCGTGGTTGTGTATGCAACAAAACATATGAATATGTATGCACTTAGCAGTTGAAGGGAGCACAAGGGGCCGGATTTCGCTATTGCGTAAAACTCTTAAAGGCGAAGCTTAATGGCTCCCAATTTTTTTATCTGAATCAAACAGAAACGAACAAGCAGCAATTTATTGTGTCTTTGGATGTACGGAAGGTTCCTTACTTAGTACTGCTAGCTCAATTATTAATGATTGTGTGTTTCCTTTTGATTATTGTGGGTTTAACTTTATTTTTTCGAACGTATGGCTTTGCTGTCGATAATGTCATTCAGTTGTTGTTATACATTGAGCTTTCCCTCTGACGTAAATTGTTATTTGAGTTCAGTGTCCCTTTAAGCTCATCAGCGCCATACGGTCAATACTCAAGGACGCTCGCGTCAGCGCCTAGCATTGGCGCAGGTATGTTCTCTTGTAAGCAGCTCGGCCTAATAATCACTGTCCGCGTTGACACTCTAGACACCTCGAGTGCGATAGCTGCATGAATCAGTGTGGTTCTGTTTTCATTGCTCTACGGACTATAGACAGACACACCTCATTGCGTGAAAGAAATTTCGTAAGCGCTGCAAAATTGCTTCGTGTGAGGGAGAACATCATGGAGCCCATCGTAATCGCAAACAAGTATGTGGAAACTGCCAAAAAGCAGACTGTACTATGAGCGCACACTAGCACGACATAGTAGATTTAACATTACAGCCATATTAGAGACACTGTACTAGCTAGGATAACCCAGCATGGCACGTGTAAGTTTTACATGCACCTGCATATTGACATCTACCAGAAAAAAACCAAGAGAGAGAAATAAAGATGCAAGGAAAGGCAGGGAGGTTAACCAGACGCACATCCGGTTTGATACCCTGCACTGCGGAAGGGATGAAGGGGAGAAAGCAGGTTGCAGAGAGATAAGAAGCTACACACACTCACGAGCACACTTGGGGGAGCACACACAGTGTACAGGCGGTCGCTCAGGTTTGTTGACTTTAAGTAAAGTAGGAGTGCTGTAGTCGCTTTCTTCGCAACTGAGGCAGATGCCCAAGGTCCTTGAATCTTCTGCACACAAAATGGTCTGGAGTCAAGTTGATTCAAAACCATCCGTAGCTGGCATCGCTGTGTGTCGTAGCAAACACAACTGCACAGGACGTGTTCAATGGTCTCTTCAGCTAAACAGTAGTAGCATTTAGAGGTGTCTGCCATACTAATGCGAAAGGACCTTAGTGAATGCAACACTCAACCAAAGGCGGCATAACAGTGTCGCATCGGAGCGGGAAAGTTGTGATGGTAGCTTCATCTTGAGTGAAGGATCCAGTTGATATGGTTGACATCTTTGGAAGCTGGTAGACGACCAGAACATGCGTGTAAGATCTCGAGCCAGCAGGTAAAGTTGTTCCACTAAGCAAAGGGGCTGACTGGGCTAGCTAGCTTGGCATACCTTAGGTCTAACACTGCGAAAAAATACACGGTGGACAGAAAAAAATACAAGACAAGCGCTGGCTTCAAACCAAATTTTTTTATAAGAAGCGTGCACTCCACTGTCCGAAAATACAACAGTTTTCGGCAAGAGTGAAGGAAAACACGAGCGTATAATCTATGAGGCTGTTCAGATGGCGCTTGAAAAGTGCACACGCGTAAGCAAGCCATCAGTGGCTCTGTCAAAAAGAAAGCTATGTTTTTTAGGTGCTTGGGTTGGCCCAGCACGCTCAGCGATTGTTGGTGATATTTTTTATCTTTAGATCTGCCATTTTTCACCGTTTTTCTGTACACTCGGCTATATTACCAGCCTTTTTGTCATTAAATATTAGCTTGAAGTCAGCGCTTGTGACACTATTTTCCTGCGTTCGCGCTATTTCCTGCGTTCACGCTTTTTCACGCTGTTAAACCTTAAACTTCCACTAAGATTACTATTAACCATGTTGTGTTTGTTAGATCTCTTTTCAGGATCTCGAGTGCCTTCATCTTAACCGTGACCATCGTCATGGCACTTACGCGGCAGTGGAAGTACAGCAAAATCCACCACGACCATCACGCACACTGTCACATGCAGGCGCTTCGACGAATCCACTCTTTGTGGAAGTTCCCAGGGAAGTGACGCCCATGAACGCAAGCTGCTCTGACACACTTAGCATGACTGAAGTTGAGACTTTGGTGTAGGAGGCTGTGCATGTCTAATGTCTCACTTTCACAAAACGAGTTGTGAGCGGAAAGACATAGTGCACCTATCTATTCAGCCACATGGCGCAACATCACCATCATCACCACCAACAACAACAACAGCCTCACTACGTCCACTACAGCACAAAGACCTTTTCCATGTGCCGCCAGGCAACTCGGTGCTGTGCTTGCTGCTACCAATTTATACCAGCAAACGTCTCTATCTCATCTCCTCATAACCCGCTTGTCTTTTCGGCGAATCTAGTTAGTCACCCTGAATTTCCAACGGTTTTCCTGTGTACGCGCTACATGCCCGCCCCATGTCAATTTCCTATTCATGACTTCAACTATGATATCTTTAACCCAGGTTTGTTCCCTGATCCCCTCTGTTATCTTCTTATCTCTTCAAGTTACACCTACTATTTCCTTTGCGCTGCTTGCTGCGTCCTTCTCAATTTAAGCGTAACACTTTTTGTAAGTCTCCAGGTCTCTGCTCTATAGCTAAGTACCAGCAAGATGCCGCTGTTATCTACTTTTCTCTTGAGGGATAGTGGCAATCTACCTGTCATGGTTTAAGATTGCTTGCCAAATGTGCTCCACCACATTCTTATTCTTCTAGTTACTTCAGTCTCATCGTTCGGCTCCACAGTTATTACCTGTCCTTAGTAGACATAGTATCTTACATCTTCTACTGCACTAATACCTAGCTTGAAGCGCTGTTCTCGTTCGAGGAGCATAACATAGCAGCACCTATATTTTTCATATTTTACGCGGTAATGTGTAGCTCAAACCAATCTCGACAAATGTTTTCTAAAGGGCCACTCAACAGGCTTCGACTTTTTTTACAACCCCCAAAGAAGCTCACCCATTTTTCCTACGCCTGACCAACCTCCTTCTACGCGGACTGACGTCCACTTGGCGATAAGTGACGTTTACTTCATTAATATTTGTTGAGACCTTGTTTGCGCCAATCGAAGAGCTGCGTGCTGCGTCCCATCACCGATCACCTAGTGGACGTAACTGCGCGTGAAAGATTGTTGGTCAGGCATACGGAAGATGCGCGAGCTTGTTTGGGGGTTTAAAACAATTTGGAGCATGTTGACTGGCCCTCTAAACAACTTTCGGTCGTCACCACCACTTCTACCACGCATGTTGGTGGTTCACCTGCGGTTGTATTTCTATCAGAACCTGATTACAGTAAAGAAGGAGAGAGTAAACGAGTCTCAGTGAAATGCAACTCCTGAAAAAATGACATTGTGCAGCATTGAGTATTTAGTGTAAATTGATATATGCAGTGATAGCGTACTGATTAGAGCATCAGCCTCACATGCAAGAGGTCTATAGTTCGAATCCTGGCGCCACGCAGTTCCCAACCGAATTTTAAAAAAATCTGCGTGATAATGAAACTAAATTAAGAGGTCTGAGGTGTGGTGTCACCGCTGACCACCGCCGGTAACGCACTCCCTTACCAGAGAAGGATTGGCCACCCTGGCGCAGCACCTAGCCCCTACCTCCCACATGCATACGCCAAACAACTCATGGCCCTCAGTCCCCATCGGCTGCGAAGCAATTGACCACGGTGGCGGTCAGCTATGCAACGCAGCAGAGGGTGCTAAGAATCTGTGGATCCAGACAGGCTGCCATTGAAACCTGAACTTGGCAACGTTTAACGCTAGAGCCTTATATAGTGATGCGAGTGTAATATTGGAGGAGCAAGAGGGTGTTAAATGGGATGTTATGGGGCACAGTGCGGTTAGGAGGACAGATGAGGCCTATACGTCGCGACGGATTGGGCACGTACTTTCCTATCAGGAATTGGCTGACAGAAGAGAACTGGGAGTGGGGTTCCTTATCACAGAAACATAGCTGGAAACATTGACAAATACTACACCATTAATGAAAGTGTAGTAGCTATCATAATTAAACTCAAGAAGAGATGCAAGTGAAGGTAGTACAGCCTTACACACCTACATCCAGCCGTGATGACGCGTCAGTTGAAAGCTACTATGAAGACATGGAATCCGCAATGAGTAGGGTAAAAACACAGTATACTATACTAATGGGAGATTCCAATTCAAAGGTAGGGAAGAAGCAAGCTGGAGACCAGACAATGGGCGACAATTGCATCGGTACTAGGATTGCCAGAATGAAGCTACCAGTAGAATTCCTAAAACGCGTTAATTTACGAATTTTGAATACCTTCTACAAAAAACGAGGGAACCGTAAGTGGACTTGTAGGGGCCCTAATGGCGAACTTAAGAACGAAATAGACTTCTTACTGAGTGCACACCCAGGCATCGTGCAGGATGTGGAATCGCTTGGCAGGGTTCCATGCAGTGACCACCAAATATTGCGCTCTCGAATTCGACTAGATTTGATTAGGAACGACAAAAACTGATGCGCAAAAAGCCAATCAATGAGCTAGCACAGAAAGGGAAAGTACAGGAATTCAAAAACTCGATTCAGAACAGGTGCTCCTATCTTATTGAGAAAACCAACCTTATCGATGACGCAACTAATGATAATCTTACGAGTATTAGTGCGGAGTGTGCCATGGAAGTTGCAGGTACAGTACTCAGACAGTACACAGGCAAGCTGTCCCATCAAACAAAGAATTTCGTTAGGAAGTGTCAAAGCATGAAAGCCTCAAGTACAACAGACAAAATAAAACTGGCAGAGCTTTCGAAGTTGAATAAAAAGCGTAAAATATCCGATGTGAGAATGTATACTATGGAAAGAATCGAACACGCTCTGAAGAGTGGTGGAAGCATCAAAGCAGTGAAGAGGAAACTTGGGATAAGAAAAAATGAGATGTATGCACTAAGAGGCAAGGAAGGCAAAATAACTACCAATATGGATGCGATAGCTCAAATTCCAGAGGAGTTTTACAGAGATCGTGACAGTAGGCAAGACAACCACGACCTTAATTAAAGAACTAGCAATAACCCAGATGACACCCCACCAGTAATCATAGAAGAAGTCAGAGAAGCCTTGAGGAGCATGCAAAAAGGTAAAGCTGCTGGTGAGAGTCTGTTAACATCAGATCTTCTGAAAGATGGAAAACGGATTGTGTTAGAAAAACTAGCACAAAAAATGTATATTACGTTAAAACATCAGTGTGCGACCTAAGGCGCGTATACGATTATTCTAAAGCTAATGTTCAAAACATAAATGAGTCTCTGGATAATCACTTTGTCGTATTTGAGACCCTTGCGGAACAACTGCGCGTCAGTGAGTTGTGGATTTTTTTAAAAAACAAAATGACTAAATTACGTGATGCGTTCGTTCCATGGGGGCACTTAACAGCTAGGAAAGCGAAAAGTAAGCCGTGGTTCATGAAAAACCTGCGCAGACTTACACAAAAACAGTTGAGATGTTACCGTACTTTTTGTGACACTCCGACTGATACCAATGAGTCACAACTACCCTTCTCAAAGATAAGCCAAAAGAGTTCTGGAAACATGTCGAATGAAATGGTAAAGACAATGTGTCGATACTAACACTTATTTCTGGTGACTCGGTCGTCTTTCATGACGACATTGATAAAGCTGAATGCCTCAATATTCATTTCAGTTCTGTTTCTACGCAACTGATAGCACCTGGAGATGGTGATCACCACTTAAATCAAATACGAACTCATAATATGGAGGGTATTTACATCAGCACGCACGGCATTCAAGTTTTCTTGGAAATATTAGACAACTCACAAGGATGCGGTTCAGATGGCCCCACAAACGCCTTTCTTAAGCTTTGTGCGCCAACACTAGCAGAGTTGTAAAAGTACTATTTGATAAATCACTTCTACATGCCAGCCTTCCTTCAGATTGGAAAAAAAGCAATGATTGTCTAAATACTTAGGCCTGGTCCACGGAGTGATGTCTCTAATTACGGACCACTATCGTTGACTAGTGTGGCATGTAAAGTTCTTGAACATGTAATATATGCCTCCATTGTTGAACACATGAAGAAGTATTCTCTATTTACGCCACAGCAACACGGGTTTCGAAGAGGTTTTTGTTGTACTACCCAATTAACAGAATTTACGCACGACATAGCATACGCGTTAGATAAAAGAAGAACAATTGACTTCAATTTTTTGGACTTTAAGAAGACATTTGATACACTCCCACACCGTTTACTTCTTGAGAAAGTGACTATGTATGGCAATAATTCACAGGTCATCGCATGGGTCGCTCATTATTCGACATTAGGCCAGCAGACTGTAATCGTTAATGGTGCCAGTGAATGCGCATCGCAGGCAACGTTGGGCGGCCCCCAAGGGTCGGTACTGGGACCACTTTTATTTCCGATTTACGTCAACGACATAACGAAGGGCGTAGAATCCCATATACAGTTATTCGCAGACGACTGTGTTTTCTATAGGAAAATGACGAATTCGCGGGACAAAGAGTTCATCCACAGACACCTGGCCAAAATCTGTGATTGGTGTACACGATAGCACATGAAGTTGAACTTGAATAAGACAGTTTACATGGAGTGTACTCGTAAGAATTTATTGTCTCAGACATCGTACACAATTACCGACGCCATTCTAAGTAAGGTTAGTGAATACAAATACTTAGGAGTCTACCTATCGTCTGACTTAAATTGGCAGCGACATGTTGACTATGTAACAGGCAAGGCCGGGAAAGCGCTTCGGTTCCTTCGCCGTAATGCGAAGAACTTTATTATGCCCACTAAGAAATTACTTTATAAAACATATGTGCGTTCCGTTCTTGATTACTCTGTGTCGTTTGGGACCCCTCAACAGTTTGTGACACAGAAAAACTTGAAAGAGTGCAGAACTTCGCCACCCAATTTATTTGTGAACGTTGTGACAGAAAGTTCAGTCATACGCTCGCGAAAGAATTATTGCAATGAGATACACTGGATTGTCGAAGACGCAGACTTCGCTTGAAGTTTTTTCACAACTTTCATTCAAAAGTTGGCATTGATAGGCACCTTTACAGAAAGGCACCTAATTACTATTCCCACAAGATTGACCATGAGAATAATGTTATCGATTTTCCCTGCAAAACACATTCCTTTGGGAAGTCTTTTTTTCCCTAGAATAACACGGGACTGAAATCATAAAGACAAGTACTTCGCAGCTATATCGTCCAAGAACATATTTTTCGCACTGCTAAAATAATTCTTGTATTAGAGTTGCTGTTCACTCATCTTACTGCTAGTGATGACTGCTATATGCGTGTACTTGTATTTTCTTTAATGAGCGTTCTTGTTCCTGTAATTATGCTTTTATCACTATAATACACTGTATTGTTAATTTAATCAATGTATTGTTGTTTACTTGCAATTTTGTTTTTGTTTTTTATTTTTGCACAATGATTCACTATGGTACACATTAGTGTACACTCATGATCTTCTTGTATATGTATTTATTTGTTTTCCTAATGCTACTAGCGATTGTTAACAACTGTATGCTTTGTGTTTTTCTTTGCTTTCTCCCCACTGTAATGCCATGTGGCGCTGTGGGTATGGCATAAATAAGT